AACAGTTTGGTTACCTGTTTTTCTCCTGTGAAGCTCTGGAAGAGCTTAACCTGCCGAGCCTGCCCTCTGAGCCAAACCTGAAGACTCTCTCCTGGATTTCCAAGCAGCTCTGGATTTAGAGCTGGAAACCCAAACCAAGGTCAACACCCTCACTAGAAGTAAGAGGCTGAAACAGTTATCGGACTCTGCTGAACCAAACCATCTCCGGACCAAACAGTTCCTCTCCCAAAGTCTCTTCTACGCATCTCAAGGTACAAACCAGAAACTCTCAAGATCAATTCCAACCAAGCCAACGCTAACTGAACTGTCTCCCTCACAGACTCCAGTGAACCAGTCCCCAGGCCTGAACCAGCAAACTGTACATTTACTACGTGCTTGTGTAACAATAAACTTGTTAACCTTTCCCATGAGTCCGTTGTGTTCTGCATCTTGGGCCTCTCAGTAAACCCATCATGACAGAACACTGCGGCCAAACACAAGGCCCAGCAGATCACCTCCACCGTCGTTTGGAGGAACAAGATGCCCAAATCCAGGGACAAACTCAAACCCTCCGTGAGTTGTACCGTTTGGTTGAGACTCATAATCATATGCTCTAGAGTTACGCTAACTATATGAACCGTGCTAACGCCACGCCAGCAGCTCAACCATTTCCGGGTCCAGTTCCACCTCCGAGGTCACTGGCAGTGACGTCATCCGAGTTCCGCCCAAGCCTATCTGAGAAATTCTCCGGTAATGTAAAAGACTGCAAGGGATTTTTATTTCAATGCCGTCTAATTTTTCTGAACTCTCCTGGCAGTTTTCCCACGGACTACAAGAAAATAACTTTCATTTTATCTCAATTGACAGGAAGAGCCCTGGCCTGGGCTCAAGCCAGGTTTGCCTCTGATGAAAGCCTAAATTGTTGATACTCTGACTTTATCTTTGAGTTTTCTCAGGTTTTCAACCAGGAGACCGATCAAACCCTTAACTCTCGTGCTCTTTTTCATCTCAAACAGGGAAATTTGTCAGTGGCGGAGGTCTCGATTAACTTCCGGCTTAAGGCTGCAGCTTCCGGATGGAACCAAAGTGCTCTAAAGGGCGCCTATTTTGAGGCATTAAATGAAAATATAAAGGATGAACTGGCTACCCTCAATGAACCTGCTACTCTCGAGGAACTTATCCATTTGACAATTAAGCTGGATAACCGGATCCGAGCTAGAAACAGCCTCAAATACAGGAATCAGGGGATGTCTTCCTATGCCCCCACCTCAAATAATGTGACTGTTGTTTCTGCTCCTACAGAACAGTTATCCAGACCGAAGCCTAAGATCCAGCCTCTCCCTTTGCCTGTTCAGGCTACACATATTGGAGAAACGGAGATCGAACCCATGCAGGTTGGACACACTAGGCTGACCCCTGAAGAAAGGCAATGACGATTTTTGGGCAAACTTTGCATCTATTGCGGTGAGAGTGGTCATTTCATCGCTTCATGCCCGGCGAAATCAAAAGCCGGGGCCCATCAGAGGTTCTGAGGAGTCTGGCGGGCCATGATAACTCTGAAAAATCTCCTCGCCTTCTGCTTCCTGCCACCTTATTTTTCTCGGACCAGAGCCTCTCATTCTCTGCTTTCATTGATTCTGGTTGTGAGCGAAATTTAATTGATTCCAATCTTGTCCAACAGCTGCAAATTGAAATAGTTCCTTTAACCCAGCCACTTAGTGTCTCAGCAATCGATGGGAAGAGACTTCACCAAGTAACCCATTAAACCCAACCCCTTGAGCTTCTGATCTCAGGTAATCATCGAGAAACCATAACTTTCTTTGTTTTTCCCTCCGCATGTTCCCCTCTGGTGCTGGGTTTTGAATGGCTGGAGAAACATAATCCCCATATTAATTGGACTGATCGTCATGTGGAGTCCTGGTCCACTCGATGTCATGAAACATGCCTCTGTTCGGCAGCTCCCGCTGTGGGGTCCCCTAGAGGTGGGGGGGAGATGGACGTCCCTGACCTTTCTTCAGTATCTCCCGACTACCATGATTTGGCTCCTGTATTTAGTAAGGTCAGTGCTACGTCCCTTCCACCACACAGACCATACGACTGTGCTATCAAGCTATTACCTGGAGCCCCGCTGCCCAGCAGTAGACTTTACAACATCTCCAAACCAGAAAGAGAAACCATGGAGAAATACATAAACGAGTCCTTAGCCGCTGGAATAATTCGCCCCTCTTCGTCTCCTTTGGGCGCAGGCTTCTTTTTCATTGGAAAGAAGGATGGTTCTCTAAGACCCTGTATTGATTATAGAGGCTTGAACCAGATAACAATGAAAAATAAGTACCCTCTCCCATTGCTCGCTTCTGCTTTTGAACCTGTCCAAGAGGCAACCGTTTTCACCAAGCTAGATCTGAGGAATGCCTATCACCTCCTCAGAATACGAGAGGGGGATGAGTGGAAGACAGCATTTAAGACTCCCTTGGGCCAGTTTGAATACTTGGTGATGCCCTTTGGACTAACTAATGCCCCTGCATGCTTTCAGGCCTTAGTGAATGATGTTCTCAGAGACTTCCTAAACGTGTTCGTGTTCGTCTACATAGATGACATTCTAATCTATTCCAAGGATATTTCAGAGCATAAGAGACATGTCCGCCTGGTTCTTCAGAGACTGCTGGAAAACAAACTGTTCGTCAAAGCCGAGAAATGTGAGTTTCATCAGTCTTCAGTAACTTTTTTGGGGTTTGTGCTCGAGGGCGGGCAGGTTAAGCCTTCAGAAGAGAAAATAAAAGCAGTTTTGGAGTGGCCGGTCCCAGAGAACCGTAAACAACTGCAGAGATTTTTAGGTTTTGCTAATTTCTACCGACGTTTCATCAGAAACTACAGCCAAACCGCTCTCCCACTAACCTCCTTAACATCATCCAAGAGAACCTTCCAATGGACCCCCGAGGCTCAATCTGCATTTGAGAAGCTTAAAACTTTGTTTTCCAGAGCTCCAGTGCTGATCCAACCCGATCCGTCCAAACAATTCATCCTGGAGGTTGACGCTTCAGATTCAGGCGTGGGGGCAGTCCTATCCCAAAGACTCGACACGGATCAACGAATTCATCCATGTGCATTCTTCTCCCGTAGACTTTCTCCCGCAGAGCAGAACTACGACGTTGGAGACCGAGAGCTCTTGGCCATCAAATTAGCCTTGGAGGAATGGAGACACTGGCTGGAGGGAGCTGAGCACCCAGTTCTCGTATGGACAGATCACAAGAATCTTGCCTACATCCAGTCCGCAAAACAAGGCAATCCTCGTCAGTCAAGGTGGTTCATATTCTTCTCTCGATTCAACCTCATTATCTCTTACAGACCTGGATCAAAGAACGTCAAGCCTGATTCTCTCTCTCGTCTCTACGCCGTGGATCAATCCGAGTCACCTCAACCTGTCCTCCCTGCTTCTTGTACTGTAGGAGTTGTCACCTGGGAAATCACCGATTTAATCAACTCTGCCCTGGCCTCGGAACCTGACCCAGGTAATGGTCCTCCTAACCGAACCTATGTCCCCTCGTCTGTCAGATCTCGCCTTATACAATGGATGCATTCTGCCAAATTTTCCGCTCATCCGGGGTTGAGCAGGACCGTCTCCCTGATTTCAAGACGTTTTTGGTGGACTACTCTTCACAGGGATGTTAAAGCATATGTGTTGGCTTGCTCTACTTGTGCCAGAAATAAGGCTTCACACCAACCACCCTCAGGTTTGCTACAGCCTCTCCCAGTGCCCACGCGCCCATGGTCCCACATCGCAATCGATTTCGTCACTGGTCTTCCAATCTCTGGAGGTACGTCTACAATATTCACCATAGTTGATCGATTTTCCAAGTCCTGTCACCTGATCCCTCTCAGAAAACTTCCTACGGCCTTTCAAACTGCTCAGCTTTTGATCAAACATGTTTTTCGACTCCATGGAATCCCACGGGACATTCTCTCTGATCGTGGACCCCAATTCATTTCCCAGGTTTGGAAGGCATTCTGTTCCGCATTAAACTGTAAGTCATCACTAACCTCTGGCTATCACCCGCAGTCCAACGGCCAAACCGAGAGGATGAACCAACACCTCCAGTCAACCCTCAGATGCCTAACTTCCAATAACCCCACCGATTGGAGTCAGTACATCACCTGGATCGAATACGCCGATAACTCTCTCAAATCAGCTTCCACCGGTCAATCACCTTTTCAGGTCAGTCTCGGCTATCAACCTCCTCTTTTCCCCGCAGCCGAGAGAGAGATATCGGTCCAATCCGTCAATCAGCACATCTGCCATTGCCAGCGCATCTGGAGGGATACCATCACCTCTCTCAACCGTTCCTCTGAGACGACCAAACGATTCGCCGACACCAAGAGACGTCCTGCCCCTGAGTACTCGGTCGGACAGGAAGTATGGCTGTCCACACGGGACATTCCCCTCAAGGGAATGTCACGTAAACTCTCGCCCAAGTTCATCGGTCCTTACAAGATTGTCCAGGTAATCAATCCATCTGCCATACGTTTGCAACTTCCTCCGACCCTACGCATCCATCCCACGTTCCACGTCTCCCAAGTGAAACCTGTCATCTCGAGTCCTCTTTGCCCTCCATCCGACTCCCCTCCACTCGCCCTGGAAGTCGATGGACATCCCGCCTTCACTGTCCGCCGGATCGTGGACTCCCGTCGGCGAGGTCGCGGCTGGCAGTACCTCGTCGATTGGGAGGGCTACGGTCCGGAGGACCGCCAGTGGGTTCCTGGTTCCTACATCCTCGACCCTTCCCTGATCGAGGAGTACGAGCGCTCCCTCCCATCTACCTCTTCCGCACCGCCAAGAGGCGGTCGTTGAGGGGGGGGTACTGTTGGGAGCTGGAGAAGTTCCACCTTCCTCCAGCAGAGTCTGCCGTGGATCCTCCTGAGCTGAGCTGCCTGCACACCTGTGACTGATCATCTCATCAGGAGGACCACAGTATTTAAACTGTCTTCAGACCTTGCCTCGACGCCGCAGTGTTTAATCAGTTTGGTTAACTGTTTTTCTCCTGTGAAGCTCTGGAAGAGCTTAACCTGCCGAGCCTGCCCTCTGAGCCAAACCTGAAGACTCTCTCCTGGATTTCCAAGCAGCTCTGGATTTAGAGCTGGAAACTCAAACCAAGGTCAACACCCTCACTAGAAGTAAGAGGCTGAAACAGTTATCGGACTCTGCTGAACCAAACCATCTCCGGACCCAACAGTTCCTCTCCCAAAGTCTCTTCTACGCATCTCAAGGTACAAACCAGAAACTCTCAAGATCAATTCCAACCAAGCCAACGCTAACTGAACTGTCTCCCTCACAGACTCCAGTGAACCAGTCCCCAGGCCTGAACCAGCAAACTGTACATTTACTACGTGCTTGTGTAACAATAAACTTGTTAACTTATCCCCTGAGTCCGTTGTGTTCTGCATCTTGGGCCTCTCAGTAAACCCATCATGACATTAAGTGGATGGAGAAGACTTTTATACAAACAAGACATTATGTGAGTTATCTTTTTTAAACTCAGTCTAATAAAAAGAACAAATTTTAATTGCAAGAAAATTTCAGAATAATTCTTTAGATGATAAATAAGAAATATATTTTAATGTTCTGCAACAAAAATGGAACCTTAAATCTACAGCCATAAGGTTTTCCACACAAAGCGGCATCACTGAGTTATCAGTAGTTAAGTGAGACACCTTATGTAAAAATGGATTATTGTTGGCTTTATGACCTTTATGACCTCTCCAGGGTCCTCCCTAAGAAGCGTGTGTGCATGTTTGGTGCATGGGGATACATCTTCGAGTATGAAACCAGCAAGCTCTTCCTTTACCCACTGTATCGAAAAGAGAAGCTCACTCCCTTTTCTGATACATGTAACCTTACCTATAATTATTGGGCAGTGTTGAGGTTGGCCATCCCCTAAAATAAGGAAATAAATGAGGAATTTGCTACTCCACTTTCACCACTCTGGTCAGGGTTGAACAGTTTTCCAACCAATGTTGAAATCTCTAATGGTAAGATACGCTTTAGTAGGCAATATGGCAAACAAAATCAATATGGCAAACAAATGGGTGTTGGGCTCTCCGATCACGTAGGCAAAGGAGCTATGATGATTTATTCCTAGACCTATTTGTTTTAGAAGCTTTCAATGCAGAGAGAGGGATCTTTAGGACCATGCTGGTGATAATATATGTGTTGGGATCTGGAGGTCTGTCCACCTTTCTCCAGCAGAGGGCGTTCTAGGTCTCCTGGAGCTGAAGCTGACCACCACGCCTGCGGCTCATGAGCTCATCAGGAGACCAGCATTTAAGGAGGGGCAGAGCTACAGTCCGACGCCAGAGTGTTTGCCAGTTATGGCTAGCAAGCCTGAGCCAACCTGCCTGTCTGAATCTCTGACTCCCCTGAAGCCTGAACCTGAACCTAATCTGCTTTTTGTCCTCTCTGCTTCTCAGGAAGAACCTGCCAGGAAACCTGAAGACCTGGAAAGGTTTCTCAAGCGTGAAACCAAGCTGTCTGTTCTCAGAAGAACCCTGGAAATCCTACTCAGTCTGAAACCTGCCTGCCCGCTCTCAGCAAGAGCTGAGGGAGAAGCTCTGAACCTGCTCAGTAAGATTATCTGCTCTGCGCTGCCTCTGCCTAGCCCTCTGCCTGCCTTAAGCCTCTGGACCCTCCTGGTTCCCCCCTTCTACCGTTCTGCTTATCTCTGATCAGGTAAAGATCTGCAAACACCCAACCTGCAAGTCCACTGAAAGAATGCTAACCAATCTGTCCCTCTCTGCAGTGAAAACCAGTCGTGACCAGATCAGGACCCAGTTATCCCCAGAAATCATTGTTCTTTATTGTGATTCATATTCAATAAACTTGTGAACTTGTTCCCAGTCTCTGAGTGTTCTGCATGTGGGTTAGATCCCTAAAAGCCAACATGACAATATGGTGTGAAAAAATTAATCAAATTGGAATTTCCTGCCTCTTCTGGAGTTTGCGTTGCCTACTTGATATCAATTGTGAAAAAACTCTATTTTGGGGACATGCCTACAAACCGAACCCTCTTTTAGACCCACCCTCCACCCTATATATTTACCCTAAGGAGGCATACCTTCACACACATCATCAAGAAATGACAAACCTACATCGGAGAGAATAAAATCGGGCCGGATCTTATACCCCCCAAATTCCCCCATCCTAACTTAATATCATCCACCTTCTCTGACTTTATATTCTTCACCCCACCCTCCATCCCCAGTGCTTTTTCCAAGCGAGACTATTGAAGTAAATAACCTAAAAAATAAATTGCTTCCTGCTATACCCGAGCCAGAAGAAAAGAGGGTCGTGGGGACTTCACCTGGGTCGACCAAGGATGAACAAATCTACTATCATTCTCCCTTTCTAAAGGAGGAGGTCGAAATTGAGGAATTAATCTCTTCCTCTCTCATTACTACAGCGAAAACAGCCATGCCTCATTTTCTTAATAACATCGCTTTGGATTTCAATCGAGAGACTAGGAGATGAATAATATATTAAATTACTAGAACTGGAAGTTATAGTTCATTAATAGGTAATTGAAATCAAGGGTAAAACTAGTTATTTATTATCAGTTGATTGATTTTAACTGTAATTTGCTTAGTGAGCAGGGTTTTAGCCTCTTGTCTAAAAGGTATGATTCCTAAATCCAGCTGTTAAAAATCCTTTTGTCTCTCACCAAGTTAGTAATTTAGGCTATGGCTCTGAGCAACGTTATTAATTACCAACCAAATAAATTAGTCCCTGTTCATTCGGATGATACTAAAAGAAGAGGAAAGCCAACCTGAGTGATAAATAGTTCACTGTGTAAAATGAACACAAAAGACCACAATTTAAATTACAATGATACCTTTATTAGCTACAATCACATGTTATTACATCTAATATCTCAGCAAACACTAATCACTGCTAAAAATAAGCAAAATTTAAGATATAAAAAGGAAGACGGTTTTAAGAGTCCATTGAAAGTCTGAGTGATGTTCAAAATTTAAGGACTGAATGGTAATGCATTCAAAATGTCCTTTGAAAATAGCAGGAGATAAAATGTGAATAAACCCTGATATAGAGATTTGAACTGCAATCAAAATAGTGACGTTTGTGGAGTACAAAATGAGCACCCGGGAGATGATTTGCAAGGAAGAAAAAGTTTATTCCGCTCTGCAGAGGGGAGAATGACACAGAGCAGCTAAAGACTGTTGGGATCTGGGGGTCTGTCCACTTTCTCCACCAGAGGGCGTACTAGATCTCCTGGAGCCGGAGCTGATTGCTACCACCTGCCGCTCATCTGCTCATCAGGAGATCTGTATTTAAGGAGGCAGAGGACGTCTCTCCAGTGCCAGAGTGTTTGCCAGTTACGGTTAACAAGCCTGAGCCAACCTGCCTGTCTGAATTTCTGACTCCCTGAAAACCTGAACCTGAACCTGATCTGATTTGTCCTTTCTGCATCCCAAGTTGACCCTGCCTGAAATCAGAAACACTGAAGAGTTTCTCTGTTGGAAATCTGCCTGTCTGATCTCTGAAGAACCCTGGAGATTCATTCCTGTCAAAAACCTGCCTGTCTACTCTCTGAAGAATCTGGAAGAGAAACTCAAATCTGTGATCTGCAAACACTCAAACCAAGCTCTGCCTCCGCCAAGCCCTCAGCCTGCCGACAGCCTCTGGACCCTCAAGGTTCCCCCCCTCAGCCACTCAGCTCAAACTCCAGAACAGGTAACGTCCTGCTCACTCAAATCCTGCAAATTACCTGGACGTCCACTGACTCCTCTGTCCCCTTCTGCAGTGAACCCACTCGTGACCAGTCCTGGATCTGATTAACCCCTGGATCTGTTTATTCTTGTACAGAATTATTTCAATAAACCTTTGAACTTTTCTCCAGCTTCAGTGTGTTCTGCATGTGGGTTAGGAACCTTAAGCCAAACATGACAAAGACAGCTTTCAGTGTGATTCTGACTAGGTCCTGCCCCACCTTCGCATTATAAAGACTCCTCACACGCGGACATTCAGTCTTTCCAAGAGAAACACTTCATGAAAAGACATAAATATACGTCCAGATTAACATTTCAGACAACTGTTTTCCGTTCACACCAGAGACAGGACGTGAGAATCTTAAACGCAATAAGGATCTGTTTATCTATGTTTCCCCCTTATTTAACCTAGGGAGGAAACTCCTTTTCAAACCTCCCTCCTTTCCCTACATCTCAGCATAAAGAATGAGACAAAGCCTCTAACTAATCGCCCCTATTCAGAAAGAAAAACCTGGCACACTTTAATATTTAACCTTACTAACATCAAAGAAAAAACCACAAATCACAATTCCTCTTTTTTTGTTCCTTAAGAGAACAATTACAAACAAAAAATAAAACAGAGTAAAAAAAAACTGTAAATAATATTAAATACATAGGAATATAAATGAGTAAAATAATAGCAAAAACAAAAATAAAAAGAATCAATACTTCAGTCTCCATCACTATGCAGCAGTTTAAGACAGAACCTCCATTGAGACAAATCACTGGAATTAAGCTATTGTTTCAAAAATAGACATCTAGGTGATCATAAGCAAATTAAAAGAAAATACTTTTTTAAGAATAAGAGCAAGAAAACAAAAAATAGAAACTGTCATAGTAGCACAACACAAAATTGTAACAGGTACATCCTCCAACAGAACAAATAAACATCAAAATGTCAAAGTCAAAGTCCAACCATCAATTCAACCTAGAATGATTGTTCAGAGCAAAAGGTAAGTCTTCAACCCAGTCAACACAAGAAAGCAGTCTGTAAGCTCAGAGATTTAGTGAAAGCAGCCTACAGCTGTAAACACCACTAAGGATGACCTTAGGATGAGATAATACATTTCAACTGTTAATATCTATGGTTTACTATATGTTTACCTATATTAAGAATCGTCCAAATCACTCACAAAGGAGAAAATATTTAGAGAACTTATTTAAGTAGGAGTTTGAATATGAAAAATGAATACTTTACAAGGCTCATGAAAAGGCACAGTTATCTTCTCTTGCTTCATGAGAGGTTCTTTATCTGATGAATAAAATTATAAGCTTGTTGCTTACTTGTACATGAAAGTTTAGTTAGTTTAGTTTATTTAGGATCCCCATTAGCTGTAGCAAGCTACAGCTATTCTTCCTGTGGTCCAACAACAAAACATGAAATGAAAAATTACTAATGAAATAAAATTATGTGGACATTAAAACAACATCTCCCATAATCTATACATATACATATATACATACACACATATACACATACATATATACATATATACCCATATACATAAACAGAAACAATCCAAACTAATCAAAACAAACTACAAAGCACAGCAAGTGAAGAAGACAGTCCCAATCGTGTTTTACCTCTATATTTAATA